ACCTGGCTTTTCAGAACGTTTCTGTTATTCAAATTTGTACAATAAAGAAAAATACCAGTTAGCATTGAGAAGCACCAACACTGATAACAATTTTTTCAGCAGAACAATATCGAAAACTTCTCAAGATGACAAATCCAATGTTGTATACAAAATAAAATGCAATGGCGACGGGTCGAACGTATGCAATAAAGTATATGTTGGGACAACAAAAACAAAATTAAAAACACAGTTAAGTAGTCATAAATCTGACCAAAAAGCTGAAGACAAACTTCTTGAACAGAAAACAGCACTTGCCGCACACTGTGCAACAACCGGACATACTCCTAATTTAAAAAATGTTGACATATTAACACAAGAGAACAATTACAAGCGAAGATACATGTTGGAAATGCTTCACATAATTAATGTCCCCGTTGAAAATATAATGAATAACAAATCAGACACAGAACATTGTGCGAATTTATAGAAACGCAATAGAAAGACACCGAAAACTTTAGTCTGAAAATCTCTGTAAAGTGATGTGGAGGTGAAATTGTTTTTGAGAATATAAACAAATGTAATTATTATAATTGTTAATTATGTTTAAAATTTTAAATATATTAAAATGCGTGTTTTTTTTTTTTTAAGTTCAATCCCTGATGATGATCGTCGATGCCAATCGAAATATTGGAAATAAAATGATGAAACAAAATTAATTGTTTTTTATTCTACTGACCTCAAGCCAAATTAAATAAGAAAGAAAAATTTCCTAAAATATTTAATTCTAATGTTCCCTAAAAATCATATAAAATTTCAACTTTTTTTACTTGATCTGAAATTTTGACCCTGCTTAAATAGGTTCCAATTACATCTACGACAGTGTTTCCAATTGTAATTTTTGGATTTTCCAAAGAATGATAATTTTCCCAGCTGTAGGAATGATGAAACAATTCCATATTTAAGCTAAGTCAGCATTTATTTCAGCTTAAAGTAATAACAAATAAATAATTATATATATTAGGTAAGAGTTCATTTAATATTGCATTTGTTAAAAACCACACCTCCCCTACCCTACCTACATATAAAATAATATTTCTAAAATAAGTTCATACACACATATATTTATTTCGAATATAATCTCTTATTTGTTTGAAATATGTCCCTATTCTACTATTTTATAAGCAAAATAATTTTGTTTATTTTGTTTTCGAAATGACAACGACCAAATACCGGACAGACATCGGCTTCTCGTTTCCATCACGTGAACACAACAGACTGGCCCCTTGGCGGCACACCAACAACTAGCCTGATAACACTAGACGAGAGTACAGTTCTCGAGAGATGCACACGTGCTCTCAAGATTATTAACAGAACGAAAACGACAACATGTCATGGAATATAAACATAAACTGAAAATTTTTTGCTATTTCATGGAAAGTCTCGAGACTTGAAACAAAACTGTACCCATAATCCACTCAACAACAGATGTCTTATCAGTGTCTCAAAAGAGGGCGGGAAAGATTTGTGAAGAAACAACAATTATTTTTCCATTTGCACAAAATATGAAATGAAGAGTAGAATTCCATAAATATTGGTGTATTATATATTTTTTTTTTTTTAATTTCTGTATGAAAATCGTCCTTTGATTATTTACGGAACATGCAGCAGTGAATATGAATGAAAAATATGAACCTAGTAGAATATTTTTATTTTTTTTTACGAATATCTTTGCAGTATCATTGCTCTGCTATGATGCGGAGAAACACCTTTTAATACTCGAATAATACTTTGTCTAATGATTTCGCCAAATTTATAATAAGTTATTATACAAATTATTAAAAAACCGACGCCATCCTAAAAGTATCCACTTAAATACATTTAAAAAAGGAGGCACATGGTAAAATCGAATCCATTGTAAAAACACAAATCAGAGATGGAAATCTATATTTATGCAGGGAAATTTGACAAGGTAAATTACAGAAAATGCGGAGATGGGTATGCTTATTTGAAATGATTTTACCTTCTTATTTTGTCATGGAATGACAAAATGTCCAGTCAGCAAAATTTGAATTAACCTGGCAACTACAATAGATGTCACTAATACTTGTCGGTTCTTTTTTGTCAATTACAAAAGTTGTCAACAAAGTTTAGGAAAAGAGATGCATTTCATAAATAATCAACTAAAAAAACTGTTAGTTTGGACGGGCCGAGCTTTGAATACCCTCCACAATTTGCAACGAATTTTGCAATATTCAAAAAAGAGAATCCGTTAAAAATTCTGTTAAAATCTTAAAAATACCGAATGTAGGTGTATTCTGTTCTATACAATGACGTGGACCTGCATGGGCAACTTTTGTCATAAGTCATGCAGCTAAAATAATCAGAATACCGAATATAGGAAGGTACCGTTATATGGGGGATGTACGAAGACTAGGACCTGCACAGACAATTTTCTGTCATAGGCTGTAGTATCCATTACGAACTTCAAGTACGAAATTTGAAACAATTTCGGTGAATAATGTCGCTTAAATCACCAATGCCGAAAATAGGGAGGTACCATTATATGGGGACTATACCAAAACATGGATCTACATGACCCATTTTCAATAGTAAAAGTCCTGCAGACATAATATACATTTGAGTAAAATTTTATCAACCTTCTTCATTTCGTTCGGAAGCTAGAGTGATTTCGAAAGAAGGTTAGGTTATACTGGTTAGATAAAACAAGTAAAAAAGCAGTAAGTTCGGCCGGGCCGAACTTTGAATACCCTCCACCATTTGGAACGAATTAGAAAATATTCAAAAAAATAAAATCCATTGAAAATTCTGTTAAAACCTTTAAAATACCTAATATCGGAAGGTGCCGATATATGGGGGGATATACGCTATTGTGGACCTAATTAGACAAATCTATGTCTGGGGGTAAAGTACCCACAAGGAACTCCTTGTGTGGATTTTCAGAAAATTCCGTTGAAAAATGTGGCTAAAGTTATCAAAATTCCGAATACCGGGGGGTAACGTTATATGGAGGCTATACGATATTGTGGACCTATATAGATAATTCTCTGCCGAGGTATAAAGTACCCACAAGGAATTACTTGTTTGGATTTTCAGACAATTCCATTGAAAAATGTGGCTAACATCATCAAAATACCGAATATCGGGGGGTACAGTTATATGGGGGATATACGATATCGTGGACCTATATAGACAATTCTTTTTGAGGGGGTAAAATGCCCACAAGGGACTCCTTTTGTGGAATTTCAGGCAATTCATTTGAAAAATGTGGCTAAAATTATCAAAACACCGAATATCGGGGGGTACCGTTATATGAGGCTATTCGATTTCATGGACCTATACAGATAATTCTCTTCCAAGGGATAAAGTACTCACAAGGAACTCCTTGTGTGGATTTTCAGATCATTCCATTAGAAAATGTAGCTAAAATCATGAAAATATCGAATATCGCGGGGTACCGTTATATGGGGGCTATACGATATGTGCAAAATTTTAGCTTCCTATCCTAATTCGTTTTGACTGCAGCGTGATTACAACAGACGGACGGACAGGGCAAAATCGTCTTAGAATTTTACGCTGATCAAGCATATATATACTTTGTTGGGTCTAAAATTAATATTTCGATGAGTTACAAACGGAATGGCGAACTAAATATACCCTCCATACTATGTATGATGGATGGTATAAAAAGAGATCACATTTCAATTTTTCCAGACATTAATAATTCGAATGCATTCCTTTACATTTTTTACCATTTGCAGCCTATTTGGCATACTTTTAACAAGTTTTTTCGTAGAAGATAGGTTCAATTTTTTGTCATTCTTCCAACAAAGCTGTCTCTGTAAGATATGGTATGCTGGCGGATTTTTCCATCGAGGTAGCTCCATAAAGAGAGGTAGAGATCGGACCTTTCCTTCTGGTACCTCCCCGACAAGGAGTCCAAGTTTTTAATAACCAAAACTATTATAAAATCCGAAATAAGCATCCGATTCTCTTTATATTTCACACATCACAATTTTTTTATTAACCTAAGGTCTAGTGGGAAGATGGAATATATCGGTCCACTACTTCTGGTACTTCCCCTACAAAGGATCAAAAATTTAAGTATCCGTGAAGCTCATAAAACGCAAATTAACATCCGATACCATTCAGACTTGGTACATTTTAATATTTTCATCAACACAAGATCTGTTTGGTAGAGATCGAACCATTTCTTCTGGTACATCCCCCACATAAGGTTCAAGATTTCGAAAAACTAACCGCTAAAAGAAAGCGAAATAAGCATCAGATTCTCTTCAAATTTCACACACACAAACTTTTTTTCTAATACAAGATTTCTTGTGAAGTAGTCGAATTTTTAAACTTGCAACTAAATGGGAAGGACTATATCGCCCTAAACACTGGCGCCCAATGTTCACGGTTTATGAAAATGTTTTATTTTTTACGTGCAATTGACAATATAAGTGAATTGTTTTATTTATGCTGGATTTGATTTAATACAGCCAGAGTACTTATATGAAGACTACTTTATTGGAAGACTATTCCAAACATATTTCATGTTACAAATACTGAGTCACTTTAAAATTTAAAACCCTACACTGACCTGATGTAATCTACCCACTGACCAATAGAATATTGTCTAGTCCATCTCATAAACCGTCGGCAATAAACAATCGCATCTTCTCTCAAAAACCCCCTTCGGCCAAAAGAAAACCTATTAAAAACGTGTCTTAATCTTAACGAAATGGAAAATAGAAACATTTCTAATATTTAAAAAAAACAACTTATTTCAATTCTTATCTCTGAAAATACCCAAATGCACACACAGACATACTATTTACAAATACCCAAGACGAGAAGGTATCGGTCGGGCCGGCAGCATCAATGAATTTTGATTTTTGTTTTGAAAATTTCTTTTGGTTTTTGAAAAACAAATTGACTATAAATAGCTGTCACTGGGAATCACCAGGCGTCAGAGTTAAAGTAGCGTTTAAACTGCAAACATAAGCCGCAACGGTTTAAAAAAACACACAGTAAAAATGTTGAAAGCATTTAGTCAAGTGCTGACAATCCTGTTAGTATTAGGGATCAGCTGGCAAATGGGACACTGTGGAGGTGAGTAATTGAGTAGGATTAAGAAATCCAAGATTTGGTTTCATAGTGTTTAAAGTGTGGCCTAGATGCTTGTGTGAAATTTGTGAAAAAATCTGAGGTTGTTTGTGTAGAAGGGCAGGAAAGACTAAGGTGTTTGTAATATTACCGCTTTTCTACCAATAACCTTTGATTTTGTTCAAAAAATATTCGCCGTCTATATACCAATGACAAAGGTTAGCAAGTTTGACGTACAAGTTTAAACAGAATGAACGCATTGCGTCACGTGTCGTGTATAGTGTTTAAAGGTGGAAATACATAAGCTGCTTGGCACTATGCCATGTCATATTAATGTCAAATTAAAAGGATTCGATTGCGGCTTTGATTTTTTTTTATTATGTGTCACTAAATATGCAATGCCATGCTGCTGTATTAAGGTGAGAATACATAAAACGCTGGTTTAAGTCATCGGCTGGCTTCTTCGTAGGGGAACAAAGAAGCTTTAGGTTGACTTAAGCTGGAAATACATAAAGCGCTTATCTGGCTGGCTTAAGTCATCGGCTGGCTTCTTCGGAAATGAACAAAGGAGCCTAGGGCCAAAATCGAACTAAGTCAACCTAAACCTCCTTTGTTCATTTACGAAGAAGCCAGCCGATGTCTTAAGCCAGCCAAATATGCGCTTTATGTATTTCCAGCCTTAGTTCGATGTTGGCCCTATGCTCCTTTAATCTTTTCCAAAGAAGCGAGCCGATGACTTAAGCCAGTCAAAAAGGCGTCAGCTACCCTATACCACATTATATATTCTCACCTTTATAACCTTCAGTAAAACTACTCAAAAATTAGAGATGCCAATGCTTAAACTGCATTTTTTTTTTTGTTCTGGGGCTGGATTTTTGTCCCGGGAAAATGATTTGCCAATTCTCACTAAAAGAACTGTCAATTATCCTCTCTCGAATCGCTCTCTCAATTGCATCGAATCGATGCTCAATTTGCACCAATTGTTTTTTTTTTTTTTTTTTTTGGGTAACCAGACAGACCCATCTTTACTAGTTTTCTATTCGCTAGACGGGGCAAAGTAAGTCCTGATTTATGCTTGGCAAGTGTCGTACAGCAATTTTGATCGTTATCTTTTGAACTTGCCTATTTCATTTATACAAGGAATTTATTTTCCGCAATTTCCTATCCCTTGCCTTTCTCTCATTTTTATTTATATTTTTGTATAAATATAAAAACACAAAAAGAACTGCCCATGGTAGAATTACAAGGTAGCCCTATCAGGCCAGCTGTAGGCAACTTGATATGTCAAACAAATTGTTGTAATTCGAATTCGCCTTACATATACACAAAGAGAAAAAATAACGCAAATAATTATTAACATTGAAAATTTTGGAATAGTAAATTTAGAGGTATTGTATGGTTAGTAAAAGAACGTATATTGGAGGACAAGCTAAGTCCAATACATTCCTTAAGTTAACATTTGTATAAATGAATTCATGAATGTCGTCACGAGTCACACATATAAAAATCAACAAGCAATTCCCTTTATCCATATCTAGAGGCAGTTAGTACAAATATAGATCTTGTCTATTTCCTAATATTCAGCATTATAAGATTTCTTCTCTATCCTTAAAAATTGAAATTGCAAACCAATTTAAAAAAGAAAGAACCCTTATAATATTCCGAATGTACATTTATTGATATTGTTGAGGGCTAAAGTAAATCATAACAGCTTCACGATTATACACTGGAGATGTTATTCAAAAAACACGAATTGATCCGCAAATATGTTTTAAAAATCTGTTATTTAAGAAACGCAGTTATCCTAAAAAACCGCAATTTGAGACCCTAGGATATTCTTTAAACTTCTCGAATTGAGATCCGGAGTTTTTCTTCAAAATCCATATCACAACGAAACAAAATTTTCTTGCAAAATTTAATTTTTTTTTTAAAAATTTCAATGAACCAAAACAAAATTATTCAATGTCTCAAAATAAAATGTTCTGATTGGTGCAAAACAATTTCCCCCGAATTATATTTGTCAATTGAATTCGCCTTGCTTACAATTTTGACATATCAAGTTTCCAGAAAAGTTGCTTTGTTGTAATTTTCGCCTATGTTGCTACCTTGTATTTCTACCATGGAACTGCCAATACGGGCATTTTTTTTTTCTAATTCCATTCCCCTCTTTCCAACAAACAAAGAATTGCCGCCAAAAATCTTGACTAACATAAATTTGGACTGATACTCTCAGAGCGAATTTCACACTTCTCTCATTTACTAGTGTTGCCATTTAAAAAGGTGTCACATGCATGTTACTACATGGCCACACATCAAAATGGTTATTTTGTTAAAGGTAGCAGGCCACAACACAAATTTATGTGGAAAATGAATTAATCCCATTTTATTTATTTTCATATTTTGATTAATTTTCTTTTGCCCCTTCTCTTACAGTCATTTCCTCGTTGGATGATAACACTGAACACGATCATCGCATGCATCCCACCTTTAATTTCAAGCCCGTCGATCGTCTCTACAAAAGAGCCATGCCTATGTTGAAATTTGACTCATCCAAGCCAGAGGAGAAATATCTGGAATTTTGGAATGATGTTGGTCAAGATATACTCAGTCAACAATTGGCCAGTAAATCTCTGCTCAATACAAATATGGCCAAAAATGTGATTATGTTTTTGGGTGATGGCATGTCCATACCGACCATAACGGCCGGACGTGTATATCTAGGTGGAGAAGAGAAGCAATTTACTTTTGAAAAGTTTCCCTATATTGGGTTAAGTAAGGTAAGTTACAACAACAAAAATCAAATTTATAAAACAAATCTAACGAAAAAATGTCCTCCCCCAGACCTATTGTGCCAACTCCCAGGTGGCTGATTCAGCCTGTACAGCCACCGCCTATTTGGGTGGTGTCAAAGCCAACTATGCCACAGTGGGTGTTACCGCTGCCATTGAGCTGAATGATTGTCGGGCCCAAAATATCACGGAACATCATGTCCATTCCATTGCCGCCTGGGCCCAAGCCCAGGGTATGGCCACCGGTCTCATTACTACCACGACAGTAACTCACGCTTCTCCCGCCGGAGTTTATGCCCATGCCGCCAATCGTAATTGGGAAAATGATGCTGAAATTCTCAAAACCAACAATGATCCTACCGAGTGTCAGGATATTGCCACCCAATTGATTTACAATGAAGTTGGCCGCAAACTCAATGTCATACTCGGTGGTGGTCGTGAAAATTTCCTACCCACCTCACAGCAGGGTAAACGTTTAGATGGCCGTAATTTAATCAAGGAATGGCAAGACAGCCATGGTCCCAAAGCAGCCTACGTGGAGACCAAGGAACAACTGCGAAATCTACCCAAAGACACAGAACGAGTTATGGGTCTGTTTGCCAATAACCACATCCCTTATCATCTGGATGCCGATCGTTCCGTTATACCCAGTCTCAAAGAAATGGTTGAACAGGCTTTGGAGATCTTGGAAAAACAAAGCAATGGCAAGGGTTATTTCCTTTTTGTGGAAGGTGGACGCATTGATCATGCCCATCACGATACCTTGGCTCTGAAGGCTCTCGATGAGACGGCTGAATTTGACAAGGCCATTAAATTTGCCCGCCAACAAACCTCTCAAGATGACACACTCATTGTTGTGACATCCGACCACTCCCACACCATGTCCGTGGCCGGTTATTCAAGTCGTAAAAATGATATTTTTGGTATCAACAATGGCCAGTTGGCTTTGGATCAGCTACCCTATGCCACATTGTCCTATGCCAATGGTCCGGGCTATGAAAATAATGTTTTCAAAGCCGGTGCTGGTTTGAAGAGGAAAAATCTCAAGGAGATCAATATGAAGCACAAAGACTATAAATTCCCCACAACAGTCCCCTTGGAATCGGAGACGCATGGTGGTGATGATGTTGCTGTGTTTGCAAGTGGTCCCTTTGCCCATCTTTTTACGGGAGCATATGAACAGAACTTCATACCGCATGCCATGGCGTACGCCTCGTGTTTGGGTTCCAAGCGAACCGCCTGCCATGATGGACTTCATAGACAGAGGCAATAATTTAGTTTAGCTAAGAAAGGGAGGGTAAATTTAAGTTGCGTATTAAAAAGCATATAAGGCTATCGTTTTAGTTGTTAAGATTATTTTTAAGCATTACCAATTAAGTTGCTAATTTATTTAAAAAAAAAAAGAAAAAACAATTAAAATGCAAAAACATTTATGTTTTTGCCTAAATCTAAAATATTTATTTTATTTGGGTTTGATATTTCAGCATTGCAACATTAGCCTTCATTAGCTTAGAATACCTCGGGAGAGACATTTAGGGTGAAAATACATAAAGCGCATATTTGGCTGGCTTAAGTCATCGGCTGGCTTCTTCGTAGATGAACAAAGTATTAGGTATTAGGTTGACTTAGTTCGATTTTGGTCCTAGGCTCCTTTGCTCATTTCCGAAGAAGCCAGTCAGATGTATTCCCACCTTTATTTCTATCAACTACTGGAGCAAGGAAGAGACGATTGTTATTGTTTGAATGAGTTTATCCCGCATTAACTTAAGAATATATAGCAATAACGGTCTCCAACCAGCATACAGGTTTCTGGATCATTCTGCGAACAACTGGAATGGTTTTAAACTCTAGAGGCTTATATTACGTTCATACACCAGTGGCTTTGGGCAACTCACTTGACTTTAATCAAGGACCATTCGAGCAGCTTCCTCAACACTTTGTGGCAGAAATATGGCGCCCAGGTTTATTCGATGGTCCGTTGAGAACAAGACAATTCAGGTTATTGGAACAATTTACCGTGAGACTAGCAGATATATTTTAGCCACACAACGGGTCCAAAGGGAACACGATTCCCATAATGGCTTCAAAGAGTCAAGTTCGAAATACATTGAAACCACAAGTGGCTATCGTTAGAGCACTTCGGCATTTAAATGAGAATAAATATTTTGTTTCTCGTACCATCGCTCGTTACTGTGATACTGGCAGCGTAGCTCGGCGTCAAGGAAGTGGACGGAAGAAAACAGCAACATCAGCAGAAATGTTTCGAAAAGTAATGAAGCGACTTGATGGAAACCCGCGTCGCAATATTCCATTCGGCAAATATTGAAAAATGTGCTCGGGGTAAAGCCATCGGAATTCCGAAAAGTGCAGGAACTTACACCGCAAGAGAAAGAAAAAAGACTCAAAAGAGCTAAAGAGTTGCTTCGCTTGGCTGAAAGTAGTGAACTGCCGAATTTGGTTTTCTCCGAAACAGCAACATCAGCAGAAATGTTTCGAAAAATAAAGAAGCGACTTGATCGAAAGTGGTCGAAAATTGGCTCGCTCGTAAGAAGAAGAAATCGCAATATTTCATTCGGCAAATATTGAAAAATGAGCTCGGGATAAAGCCATTGAAATTCCAAAAAGTGCAAGAACTTATACCGCAAAAGAAAGAAAATAGACTCAAAAGAGCTAAAGAGTTGCTTCGCTTGGCCGAAAGTGGCAAACTGACGAATTTGGTTTTCTCCGATGAGAAAACATTCGTTGTCCAACAGTTTGTAAACAAACAAAATGATCATGTTTACTTGCCAAAAGGTCAGCTGAAAATGTGCACCATCGGTTGGCCAGCAGAACTCAAGCGCCGGCAATGGTGATGGTGTGGGCCGCCATAGCAGCCGATGGTCGCTCTCCGCTCGTTTTAAAGCCTTGGGCAGAATAAATGCCGAATATTATCGCGAAAATATTCTGAAGGGTATTTTAAAGCCTTGGGCAAGCAAACATTTTGGCCGCAGACCTTGGACATTCCAACAGGACTCAGCACCATCGCACTCAGAACGGTAATAAAACTCAAGAATGGTAACAAAATGAGGTTCCTCGCTTCATTTCCAGCGCACACCAAAATCTCCGGATACCAATCCGTTGAACTATTGTGTCTGGAGTATTTTGGAAAGTAAGGTTGGCACCATGGCAGAAGAATACAGGTAGATGCATCAACGCTTGGAGGCATTGATATGTCAAAAAAATGTAAAGGGCTAAGTACATAACACGGTAGAAGAATATAGGTAGACGCATCGACACAGCTGCTAGGACAGTGAACTGTCAAACCAAATTTGGAATTGAAAATGTTGAATGAAAAATTATTTAAATTTGTAGAAATTGTTGAAAAACGAGTATAATAATATCCTCCGAATGACGTCGTATAAGAAAACATATAAAAATCTACTTATATTTGAAAAGAAATTTAAAAAATGTTGACAGATCAATGCTCCCAAGCGTTGATGCATCTACCTGTATTTTTCTACCATGGTACATAAGAAGCTTGAAGTAATGGCTAGGCATATTAATGTCAAGTTATAATGGAAAACGACGGCTGGATTTTAGTGCGGCTCTGTAATCCCTTTGTGAAAGCTTCAAACTTCTTATTTACTTTGCCCTTTAATGTTTTTTTTTTTTTTCAAATATAAATAATTTTTTATATGTTTTCTTATACTACGTCAGTCGGAGGCTTTTATAATTCGCGTTTTCAACATTTTTTACAAATTTAAATAATTTTTCATTCAACATTTTCAATTCCAAAATTGGTTTGACAGTTCATTGTCCCAGCATCTGTGTCGACGCTTCTACCTATATTCTTCTACCATGGTTGGCACTAAAAAATACCAAAGTGTCGATCACCTCAAGCAAGCGCTTCGCCGGGAACACCGCAGAGCAACATTCAGGCACCGTGTGACGGTTTCATTGGCCGTTTGAAGGCCAAAGGTGACCAATTCGAACAAATCTAAACTTATTCTAAAATTTGATGCAATTTCCGAAAATTTTTTCTTTCATTCAATAAAATTAAAAAAATGTAAAAATTATAGCGTTTGACTTTTTTGCAGATTTTTTATCTCACACTGTACATGAGGTTAAATTTATTTAATTGTGCCATGGTTAAATGATTATTATTGGAAAAACTGATTTTCAATCAAATATTGATAAATGTTTCAATCAAAAATGTAATAATCTCAATTGTCAAAATACTTATTATCATGGTACAATGAAGAGAAGGTAGGTCAACTTTGAAAAAATTGCAAGTATAGAGGTCTACCTGTTTGGCTTGTAATGTCAGAATTAGTATCGAAACAATAAAAAATCAAACAACTTGTTGCATTTATTTTGAATAAATAATTGAAAACCGCGATAACTGAATGAAAGGTCAACACTTCTTTTCAAAATCATGTACTATATATCTCTAAAGGATTATTTCGCTACAAAAACTCTAGATTTTGTCGATGCATACGTTGAAATAAACATTTTGAAAACACCCGATTTTCAATGTTTTCTGAACAATTTTTTTGTTATTGAAAAGAAAACACATATATAAACAAATATAGATGACATATTAAGCCAGAAAAATAAAAAAAATTAAAATCATATGGTAGTTCTGCCCCACCTTGAATTCATTGTACCATGGTTCCTCGCTTCATTTCCAGCCTACAGTGGCCACAAAAATCTCTGGATAGCAATCTACTGAACTATTGTATCTGGAGTATTTTGGAAAAAAGGTTGGCACAAAAAAATACCAAAGTGTCGATCTCCCCAAGCAAGCGCTTCGCCAGGAATGGGCCAAAATACCGCTGAGCAACATTCGGGCAGCGTGTGACGGTTTCATTGGCCGTTTGATGGCCGTAATTCGTGCCAAAGGTGGTCAATTCGAAGAAATCTAAACTTATTCTAAAATTTAATGCTATTTCCGACATTTTTGCTTTCATTCAATAAAATTAAAAAAAATGTAAAAATTGTGGCGTTTGACTTTGTTGCAGTTTTTTTATCTCACCTTGTAAATAAGGTTATCTTTATTAACTTGTATCATGGTTAAATGATTATTATTGGAAAAGCTGATTTTCAGTCAAATGTTGATAATTTTTTCAAACAAAAATGTGATAATCGGAATTGTCAAAATACCTATTATCATGACTTTGGGAACGTAGTGCTTAACGATATGCACCGAAGTACGCCACAGCTTTACGCTTTAGGTTTCCATTTCGATTGTGCTCAACAACGAGCGGTGACAAATCAACTTACGCCGTTTACTTGGATTCCCTCACTGATACGCCGTTACATTTCATTTGGCTCTGTTCTCTCACTAGATACAAAAACAAAAAATACGCAAAGAAGAGAAAAAGTTTTTGTAAGGTGAACTTTAGCAAAGATATCCAATCGTTTTTTTATGATTTTCCCTTCAAAACATATTTCCATTCAATAACAAAACGTTTAGATAACGGCACAAGTAAGTCATTTTAAGTGAAATTGTTAATTAAATTGTGAAATTATATCAATAATATCGAATGTTGTCTCTCTGTATTCTGTGCGTGCGAGTGTGTGTGTGCGCGGTGTGTAGAGGTATGAGAAATAAACGAAAAACAACGATGGTTGTGTTGTGTGTGTGCATCAGCATTTCTGTGCCCAGTATTTTTTTTTTTTTTGCCAAAAAAAGTGCGAACTTGGAAGAGATGTAGTGACCCCTGGCAATTAATTCCCATGTTATATGTGTTCCTTAGAGAGTCATAAGTTCCTGGGAATAGCCAAATTAGCAAATGTGTTTTTGTTTTCCCTTAAAAAATTGGTTACGACAACTAGACACAATGAACAAAAACAACGGCAGCAGCAGATACTTAAGGCGCTGACGTGCCCATTGCCCTACCGCACTTTGATTTGTCGTAATGATGATGATGAGGATTATTGTTTGGCATATATGGACGGATGTCGGGATGTAAGAAATATATGGTTATTCCAACAATGGAATCATAGGTGTTTTGGTGGTTATGGTGTTGCTACGTTTTTTGTTTTCATATTCTGTACTGTTTATTTTTGTTGTGCGCTAATTGTAATGTGCCCCCACCATATTTGTTTATCTAATATTTTTTTTGCCATTTGTTATGGCCGAGGTATACACAAATATGATGCTTTGCGAAATTTTTGGTTTGCATGATAGAATACCTTGCTTTTCATTACAAAGTTGAAAGTCAGTTGATCCCACTTTTTTTCCCACCACTGTATTTGTTTATCTGCCCTTTTGGCATATTACTTATCTTTCTTGTTTGAATATTATCGAATGTTGTAACATATAAATGCAATTACATGTTGCAATTCTAATTGGAATGATATACATTCAATCAGAAAGTGTTGGTGATAGATACACATTGATATTATTTTCCTAAATCTTTTTACTAG